CGGTGGGGGGGCCGGCGGGGAAGTTGGTCGGTGACACGACGGGGAATGTGGGGAAGACGGTTAGTGGAGCGACGGGAGGGCTGGGCAAGACGGGGGAGGGGGGGGGGGGGCCGGCGGGGAAGTTGGTCGGTGACACGACGGGGAATGTGGGGAAGACGGTTAGTGGAGCGACGGGAGGGCTGGGCAAGACGGTCGGGGATACGACGGGGGCGTTGGGGAGGGGCGATGTTAGTGGGGTGGCGAGTGGGGCGACGGGTGGGGTGGGGAAGACGGTGGGTGGGACGGGGAAGGGGTTGGGGGATACGGTGGAGGGGCTGGGGGATAATGTTGGGGGGGTGATGCCGAAGAGGGCGGGGCAGGCGGTGGGTGGTGTTACGAAGGGAGTTGGTGATACCGTGACAGGTGTTACTGGTGGTCTGGGTGAGGGAGTGGGGAATCTGGGTAGGGGTGATGTTGTTGGAGGCGTGGGATCTGTTGTTGGTGGTGTCGGAAAGGGTGTAGGTGGGCTTGGAAAAGGTGTTTGGGGAGGAATCTCGGGGAGTCAAAAGAAGGAGGAGGATACTGAGGATGTTAAAAAAGAGGCGGAGGAGAGCAAACCAGAAGAGCAACCAACCGGAGGCAAAAACAGTTTCTTCTAATTTGTGTCTTGTGCTACTATTTCTTCACATCTCTTAGCAACGTAATGTTTGAAATATACAGATTGCATCCTGGCCTATCGAGATCACTCTAGTCACGTCCTAAGATGCCTGTCGAGAGCTACAACTTCCCGGGGATGTACAGTTGTATTTGTACAGTGCTAGAGGTTTGACGACATTCAATGTGTTTGAGGTCTCTTGAAGCTTCGGCCCTTGTACAGTGCTTCTTATCTCCACCCCTTGTAGGCTTAGAGTCCGGGTTCTACCTGGCCCATCTCTGGGTCGCACACAATCACGTATGTACCGAAGGCAAAGATTGCAGTCGCACACAGATCTAACGAGGCATTTATCGCCATGGATCGGAGGATCGGTAGACCATACAACGGACTCAATGATGAATAAGACACTGGACATGGAATCGCTAAGCAGCGGGCACAGAACGTTCTATCAACGATCAGAACGTATCTTCCACAGGAGGTCGCGTTTATAATCGATCAGGGATTATGGATACAGTAAGAAGACTCTCGACGCTTTTTATCAGCACGTTAGAGGTTCATTAGATTTGTAAGATCAATGAATCGATATACAACATCAAGCTGGGTGCTCCGATATATTTCCTCAGTATTTGAAGTTGGTGGGATCACGCAAACACGGTCCTATGGATTCGGGCCAATGGGTTGAGACGTGATGTACAGTTGCGTAACCCTTGTGATTTTGTGTACCTTATGGTCTAGCATTCTCTCCGGCGACATCGAATCTAAGCATCAGCTTTATCAAAAGCCGTCTCTGATATCTCGCAGAAGACACTAGCGATACTGTTCCAGCTGGATGACTATTTAATATGGCGTCGCGAGAGGTCTTGTACGAAAGCGCGCTGGATGAGCCGACAGGCCGTGAGGTCCTTTGGTCTTTCCACGTTCGCTCGTCCTTTTCGCGCAAGTATTCTTCTTATGCGTGAGCCTGGATTTTGAATGCAGTACCCAAGTTCTCGGTGAGGATGGCGGAGATCTCGTGTCACTTTTTGAACGAGTGAATGCATGGAACATTATTATATCCTTGGATGATCTTGCATATTTTCCAAAAAAAAATTTTACACACTCTCTTTTCCTTTCGTTCTTTTATCCTCCTTTGTCTTTCCTCAAATTCTATGTGGTCTGTTTATTTGGCCCCAACGTGCTGTGCGATGGCTAGGAATCTTCATCGCGGCGGGCTTGAAGGGAGCACTGTTAGAGTATCGTGTTGGAGTGGCCAGAAATGGGGGTCCGTCAGCGATTCTCATCGCCTGCAGCACGAACTCACGCCATCACACCATGAAACAGGCTGCCTACCGGAAAGCACTGAACATATACAAGCGTTTGGCGAGTGTAGAAAGAATTGTGTGTCATGGAGTCAACTGGGACTGTCTTCGGGGCTGTTTCAGCCTCAGCCGCTGAATCAGAAGGAAAAGAGGCTTACTCTACCGCATTATTTAAAGCACTCCACCCAGCACCCTATCGAGACTTGAAAACATTTCCATGAGAGGCGAAAATGAAGCAGCCTTTCAAGACTTGTTATCATCATATTATCCTACACGCACCACTTGGTAGGAACACCAGCAGTGGCATTGTCAACGCTGCACATGTCCTTCCGTACGATTGGGCCAGTGTAGGAGGGAAATTAATGCAGCGCAACCCCCCTCGCATACTCATGGTACTCAAGGAGGTACGATCAACACAGAGATGAACTCTACTGAATATCGTATCTTTTGAAGCCCGGCTTGCATGCACTACTTCCTGCACTGAGCTTATGCAGACATGTACCTTCCTCTACCAGGTTAGTGTGCTAGCCTCTGATCAGCAACACCGCTCTTGAAGCTTGGTAAGAATTTTCGGACGAGAATCTAATTATTATCCCATTCTTGTCCCATCCTTATTCCTCGTAAAATGACTGCACGCTGAACCCTACGTATAATCTTCAATTGCATCCGCTTCCCTGAAGTTTTTATTCACGATCGACGTGCTCAAAAATGGTTAGAACCAGGGCGTTTCTGCATTTCATTCTCATGCTGTGGTCGGCTTTGCTCGCAAATGGTGCGGTTACAAGTTCAAACTCATCCTGTCGGTGCTTTCCTGGCGACTCGTGTTGGCCTTCCACTGACGCGTGGAATGCTTTCAATGAATCACTGGGTGGAAAACTCGTGGCTACGGTGCCACTTGCAGCACCTTGTCATGCGGAATTTGCTAATACGACGACCTACGATAAACTTGTTTGTGACCAATTACAGAATGATTGGACTCTTCCCCAGGCTCATTACGACTCCTCTTCGTCAGTGATGGCTCCATTCTTTGCGAACCGGAGTTGCGATCCATACACTGGCGAGTATGCGCAGTGCGCTGTTGGAACCTATATCAACTATGCGGTCAATGTCAGCGAGCCCAAAGATGTAATTGACACCATAAATTTTGCGCAAGCCAATAACATTCGCCTGGTTATTCGAAACACCGGACACGACTATAATGGAAAATCTACTGGAGCTGGTTCTATTGGTGTCTGGACACATCATCTTAAAGATATCCAGATCATTGACTACGAATCCCCTCACTACACTGGGAAGGCCATCAAACTCGGTGCCGGCGTACAGGGCTTTGAAGCTTACGATGCTGCAAATGCTAGTGGACTGGTCGTCGTTGGCGGCGAATGTCCAACCGTTGGTCTCGCAGGAGGATACACCCAAGGCGGCGGGCATTCGGCTTTGGCTTCTAAGTACGGACTTGCTGCGGATCAGACACTTGAGTTTGAAGTTGTCGACGGCACTGGTACCTTGCTCAATGTTAGCCGATACGAAAACTCAGACCTGTTTTGGGCCTTGAGTGGAGGTGGAGGAGGTACTTATGGAGTGGTAAGCGCAGTAATCGAAAAAATGTACGCATTTTGGTCATGTCTAAGCTCGCAAATAGGTCACATCAATGACGTCGAAAGCCCATCCGGATATGATCACATCTGGCGCTAATTTGACTTTCACGAACGAGAACATTACTCAGGATAGCTATTACTCCGCTGTTGGGGCCTTCAATACTGTTCTACCTACTATTGTGGATGCTGGTGCCATGGCTGTCTGGTACTTCACGAATACCTCATTTTCGTTGAGCCCCTTGACAGCTCCAGGGTTGACGAAAGCGCAAGTGATAGCTTTATTAAAGCCTTACACGGACACATTACCTGAGCTAGGGATCAAGTTTGAGGCATATACCGGACAATTTACCGGTTACCTAGACGAATTCAATCATATGTTCTCGACCATTGATGTCGGCATTGCGCAATATGGAGGCAGATGGATCCCAAGGTCGGTCGTGCAAGCAAACAATACCGCTCTTATGGCCGCGTATCGCAACATCACCGAGGATGGAGCCACTTTTATTGGCGTGGGGTTGAATGTCTCGAAAGCGGTAGCTGGAGACGTTTACAATGCCGTCAATGAGGGATGGAGAGATTGTTTGATCGATACAGTCATCACAACGTAGGTGCAAATTGCTTTGGCATCTCTCTTGATGGCTGTCTAACGTGCGGTCTAGCCCTTGGAACTTTACAGCGCCATGGTCTGAAATGATTGCAAACCAAGTCAAGATGACAGATAGCTACATTCCCCAGCTAGAAGCTCTTACGCCTGGTGGAGGGACCTATCTGAATGAGGTAAGTACTTATTGATGGAAGCCTCATTATAAGGTATTGATCTGTCTTCTCAGTGCGATTTTCTCCAACCTGGTTGGAAAGATGCTCTCTACGGAGCCAATTACGATCGACTTCTGTCCATCAAGAACAAGCATGACCCAACTCATATGTTCTACGCGACGACCGCGGTGGGCAGTGATTATTGGCAGGTTCAAGCGGATGGACGGCTGTGCAGCACACAACAGCAATACTAATGAAAACATTACGGAGCATGCCGAGATGAAACGCTTATCTGCCTCCAGCTGCAAATGCTTGTGGGACGTGCCCTGTGGCCCGGCAACCCAGCTTCGCTTTAGACGGCCGTGCGGAGGGTCGATAACCCAGCTGCGGAAAATACGCTCGGCGACGAACAACCCATCCCACTGGTGCATGACTCTGAGAGCATGCATCTAAAATGGACCCTCATGGGATTCACAACTGTCTGGTTCCCTCCTGTCATTTCTTCCCCACGTATGGATACTAAAAATCCACGCGAGCAGGGCGAAGAAGTCGAACTGGCGACATTGACTTAGATCAGTTCATGCTATCAACAGTGGGCAATATCCTGAGGAGTCACGTCGTTGGAAAGCGCTGGAGAACTGACTGGACCGCTCAAATAAGATTTTGAGATAGAATAGTTCGTAGAACGAAAAAGACTCTGCCTGGTACCTACCCCATCAGACCTGGGTATGGGAGTTTTCAGGCGAGAATCATAACAAATCTCCCGTCAAGTCATACAATCACGTTGTACCCACCTGACCAATTCCCATTACCTTCAGCCTCTGCAGACAACAGTTGTCCCATCAATTTCAGATAACGCATCCTCCCTGGTTCCTCAAGCACCACTCCATCGTAACCATGCCAGCAGCAATATCTCTCGCAACCAGCCGCTCTCTCAAAAAAGCCAACCGTCTAGTCGTATCCTCAGTCGGTCTCGCACCAGAACCTCTCCACATCACTTCCGCAGCTGCCGCTGCACGCGGCCACAGCATACCATCCAGCGTGACCGAATCCGTCAGTTCCGACCACAGATGCATCTCGCCGCCGATCACCAAGTCCTGGGACGAGGTTGGCATACCGGCCAAGGGATCGTACGAGTAAACTTGGCGCCAATTCTTGTAGGGGCTGCAATAGTCCTCGTACGGCGGATGGAGCATCGGATCTGAAGACGGTCGGGAGGGATCGGCGGGATCGAGGAACACGCCATGGCCGCAATCGAGATACCAGTGGGAGTTGGATCCGAAGAGAGCCTTGTGGCCTCTGAAGACGACGTCTGAGAGAGAGGAGGTGGAGCGCCAGGTTTGGATGATTGTGTTTTTCGGGAGGGTGAGATTCCAGTCTAGAACCATCTCTTCCCAAAGGAGAGGCGTGAATCCGTAGCGTGCGGTCGATTTGATCGCGTGGTTCACGAAGGATTGGACCAAAGGACGTAGCACCTCTTTTGAAGATGAATTGACTGTCGGATCGAGGTTGTAGGCATTCTTATTGAGTTCGTCACCTCCGAGGTGGAAAAGCGAAGTGTAA